TTAAGCCACAGCACTTCAGCGTATGCGCTCTTGTGAGCAGCTCCTAGTCGAGATCGAAATGTCGCAAATTCAATTATGCAAACATGTGATCAAAAGCGAAGAGCGAAGCTCGCAAAAAAAGAATCGCTTGAAAAAGCTACATAGACGACCTTCACGAACAATACCAACGACCAAACTAATCGCTTATACTAAGCACGTGGTATGGTAGCTTGTTCGGTGAGAAATTCCTTGAAACTGCAGCCTCCGCTCTCTGAAAAGGAAAAGGAAAGTTTTCAACAGCAGGTCAGACTCCCCTATGCTTTCATGACCGAATTTTACGTGACTCTCTTCTTTTCATGAAACTACTCGTGCGGAGTTGATCTCCATTCCTATGCCACCAATCATGAGTACCCTGTTTTAAAGGCAGTGTTTAATGCCACGGCAAATGTAGCGTATAATCTACCGTTTCCTTCCTACAAAGTGGTACTCATGTATTAATCTCGGAAGGGGGTTGAGTCACTTGGCCGGGGCTCGAATCCGGGACCTTTCGGTTCTGAGTCCGATGATTCGCCGACGAGCAACCATCAGAAACTAATACATAGCTATGAAAATAAACGAAGTGGAATGAGGTGATTAACCCAGGGAAATTTTAAAACAGGCAACAGCCACGATCTTTATCGATACATCGCATCCACAAACAAACTGTTTGAATGACCTTGTGACGGAACGTATTTCACTGTTTCATTGACGGAACGTTTAAGCAGCCCATTTATCAACGACGCAACTGCCCTACTTTGGTCGATGCTCATGAGACAGACCGGATCCTTAGCAAACATCGGCGAAACGAATCAGAGGAGTGCTTTTCACGTCGAATTGCTGAAAGTGACAACTTCTGCAAAAAACTGATGTATTTAAGTGACTGTCTGCCCTTCGGCTGTCTACGCTTCTGTTCCGTAGGCAGGATAAACAGGGCAAGCAGCGGCAGTGAACCAGACTCGGTCGTCAGGCAGAGCAATTCGGGAAGTTTTACAGAACTATTACAACGGGCACAGCGGTATTGCAACTGCTGTCAATATGATAGTGAATTACTCGATTGTGTGCCATAACAGTGTCAGATGCAAATGATGTGACTGTGATCACTGGGTGATAGATGAGATGATGACAGTCTGCTGTGCTGAGGCAAACCGAGGAGAACCACAGGATACAAATGGTTTCTGAAACTCATTTCAATTAATTATCTTATTCCTCACAAGGAACATCGTTTCGCGGGTTCTGAACACACGGAACAAACGAATGGTAGTCGTTATTGTAAGGGTCGACGTCAGCCAACCTATAGCGGTAAGGGCAAACAAACTGTAAGGCCATAACAAAGACTTTATCGGCAGTCTATTCCTTATGACTAGAACCTTGATGCTGTAATTGGACCGGTGGGTATAAGAATTCGTTTTTCGTTGCCTTCTTCCGCTTATCCGAATTAATGCAGGGAGGGTCGTAATAAGGAATTTACTTGACACGAAATTTATGTGAAACAATTTTTTACGTCCCTCGTGAATAAAATTTATCTCTACGGAATCAAGAAGGGTCGTCATACGTTGGCATCGCTGTCTTAATACCATTTAAAACATTTTGGTTTTAAATATTAATACCTACTTCATAAAAAACTAATTATGACAAACCTCCGAATTTCGTTGAAAGTATTCCTCCAGGAATCTGAGTAATCAAGTAGCCATAGAAAAAAGAAGACAGTATAGCGCCTTGAGTCTCTTCGTTCCACGCATATATACCATCCTAGAAGTATAACATACACTTCGGCTGACAACAGGGTCGTTCGCAGATTCCAACGACCTCAACTTTACCTTTCGAACAGGAAGACTAACATTGGTTTCAGACGGTCTTTTGCATACCTCGTCTATGCCTGTAGTAGAGTTTACCTTGACGTCGTGTGCGTGAATTGCTGTGTGATTCACCATGGCGACTATGGCCATGCTCAGGTTCACTCTGAGGGCATAAGTGATCAGGAATCCAAGGAAACACAACAGTGTTACGCCGTGTCTCCAGCCCAGAAACGGACGTGCTTAAATTTCACGCATGAAAATTTGGGAAAGGCGCAAACGTGTACCTGAATTTCACCTTTAGGGCTCACGTCCATTTTCTGCAGCAGCGTTCTATTCGACTCCACCTGAAACATATTTGGTTTTTTAAGCTATCTCTGATAATTTCACACTTCATTATGGTATGCAAATGACCTTAACAGCATGTAAACAATTATTTAGGCAAATTCTTTCGTACAAATTTCAGAGAAAGGTAAGGAGGAGTAAAATCTCTTTGTTGGTTGAGATGTTTCGCTATTGGAGACTGTAGCAATATGAAGAAATGAAATAACTCGTAAACTCTTGCATTTGTGAATGATATCGTACTACTAGCAGATAACTTCGAAACCGTGACATCACTGATTCAACTCCGAAATTAGGCTGTGCTGATTTGGTTTTCTCGATTAACTTACAGAACACTAAGTGGTTGGAAATTGGAGGAACCCAGCCCAGTGTCTGTGTAACCCTTGACATCGAAGTTGGGTAAAGGTACCTTGAACATTTGTATCTCGGTAGTACATTAGCTGGTGACTGACGAGTGAAAAACGAAGTTAACAGGCGTTGCGCCTTAGCGTTAGCACCGAGCAACAAGTTACTCAAGCTCCTGAAGAATAAAGATGTCGGCAAAAATACCAGGCTTCGGAACATCTCGCTCCATGGCCTGGAAGCGACGGAAATAAAGATCTTAAGATCAACATTAGGAGTAAAGCGGTGTACTATGATATAGTGTCAAACTCTGTTGCATGAGAGATTCGCATATCTAACTAAAGTGACCGACTGACCGCAAACGTGGTGTCTAAGATGGATGGTGGGGCCACTGCAAAGGAATGGACGACAGTCGCCTTGTGAAGCGAATACTGAACACAAAGTCTGATGCCAGGAGGTAGCCAAGAAGACCTCCGACAGGATATGAAAATCTCGTAAAAGCTGACGAGGCGTCGAAACGACTGAAAAGTGAGCACCGATCTATTCGATATACGTTGAATGATTGTACAGCAGCCGGCTTCGTCTTCGATACTGCGGTGCAAGAAGAAGCAGTTGTTGAGAGGCCTGAAGAAGCCGTTCGGGCGACTGACGTTCCGTTCAGCGGAATGTGCCAACGGATATCGAAGGTCTAAGGAAATTCTGACATTAGATTCGCGAATTCCGACATGTCAGGAAAGTATATCCAGCCAGCAACCGATGCCGCACCCCTGCAATTGTGTTAAACGGATTCGCCCTTGCTTCAAAACAACAAAAGTACCCAACAGCTACACTGTCACTTACGATACGTAAAATTATGATCATCTGTGAAAGTTTGTTTCCTAAACAAAGGGTGTGTTTCTGTATGAGCATGTAGGCGTACAGAAGCAATCTATGACGCTTCGGCGCGGACCGTTTCGGCGCAGACCTTTTCGGCGCCGATCGATAGTCGTTGTCGACGTGAGGTCCAGTGGTGCGCGTTTGAATGTATGTGACTGGACTGTGGTCATCTTGATCAACTGTAATATCCAACCCATCATGTTACGTATCCATGAGAAGCTCTCTGTGAGCACAGTCCGAAACTTCTGTCAAACTAATGAATTTCTATTAATTTGCGTTTTAATTTATAGCTCAACTTTTCTGCATGCGAGAATGGATTCCTATTGTGCTCTCATTCCGTTTGCCATTCCTACGCAACATGATAATATAAGTCGCAAAGACCATGACAGAAGTTTAGTACTGTATTCACTGTGACATATTCGTTAATATGTAAATAATGAACATCTGCTGATAGACAGTCAAACTCGTGACCAAAATCTTACAAATATAGTAGTTTGATAGAAGTTTCACATTGTGCGCACGTAGAGCTTCTCATGGATATGTAACATGGTGGGTTTGATATTACAGTTGATCGAGATGACCACAGTCCAATCATATAGATTCAAACTCGTGCCAGAGGACTGCACGTCGATAACGACTATCGAGCGGCACCGAAACGGCCTTCGCCGAATCGTCCCATTCCGTACAAAAGAGCATGTGCGTACTATTTGGTGCTTCATCGTCCTCAAATGAACATCCATCTCCAGGTCAGTTAAAAAGTGGAATTCCGACAGAAAAGGCTCTCACAACAGAGTGGTATATTACGATAAATTGAATAAATGCTCGGCAATGCGGTAATAAATAACAATCTTATCGACGTAATAAAAAATGTTTTGCAGATATTTCCGTTCATCCATCTTAACAGTGGCCCTATGAAGTTTTTTCAACAAAACAGTTGAACCGGTCAATGGAGCAAGCGCTGCGTCGTGAATTTTAATGCGCTAGTTCAGGTCTTCGATATGGCGACTTTCATTCGTCTGTTCCTCGATCGCCTGTAATCTGACTTTATCAAGAGTTTGTCGTGCGAGTCTCTTACGTAACATCCTCATCAGGTAAAACATATTGCAACTTGATGGATTCTTTCGATCTATGAAAGGCAAACTTAAACCATTCGTACGCCGGAGTATGTCAAATAAAACATGATTCCTCCAGTACCAGGTTTCACGGCGTACCGTACAACCCTTTGCTGCCTAAAGAGGAGGTCTTTTAAACAGGCCATGGTCATACGATATTTGAGCACCAGCGTTGTCAGATGCATCTCGCATCATTTTGACCGCTAGAGCCACGTTGCGCTCATCACGAACGCCGTTTCAGGAGCTGGTACTCATACGCTAGGGGGGAGGGGCATAAACTTCATAAGGCTAGTCGTACACCCCAGTCTGTCCACTAACGAATAAGTCCTCAAAAACCAGATTTCAGGGCGTACTGCACCGCTCCTCGCTAAATGAAGCGAGATGCATCTGGCACTACATGTGCTCAGATACCATGGAGCTGTGGTCTGCTTGAATAACCTGCACCCCACTCCTCCCCCACAGGGCAATTACGACCAAAGGGGCGGTGCAAGACGTCGTGAAATCTGGTCTTGGAAGAGTCATGCGTATGTGATCTACGAAGGTTCTAAAGAAAAAATCTATTTCTGCTTCGGTTGCATGGTCGGCGCATGAAAATCAGGAGAAATATTCCAGTCCAGACCTTGTACTGGTATCGTCATGCTCCTTAAAGGACGATGATATTTGTCATTTCTTGAACACACAATTCAGATGATCTTCAACTTTGCGAAACAAAGCGATAAGAATAAGAAAAAACATAAGTGCCAGTTTTCAAGGATGTGACGACCTAGATATGTCAGATTTTCCCCTCTCGAAATTTAAAATACTTTTCTTCGATCGTCTGAAAAAATTATCAGTTTCAGAAGAGTATAAATTATAATTTGTTTCAAAAGGCTGTTCTTATCTGTTGGGTCCGAAACGGGATAAACAGTCAAACCTCACTTTATAGTGCCGTCGATAGTTCGAAGTACGTTTGGTAAAAGAGAAGACTTTCATGTGCGGGTAAGGATCCGTCAGAGGACAGCACTGAACCCGTCTCTGTCCTCGATGGTGACAGACATAATAACTGCAGCTTTGCAAGAATCAGTCTCATATCGCATGCTCAATGCAAATGAAACAATGCCAAACAGTGAAGCCAGAGAAACAAAAACTGAGGAGTGACCAGCAGTTCTTAAGGAAAACGACGTTCGGCTGAGCTAAGGCAAGTCGGAATACAATGCTGACTATTTCAGCGGGCACAACAGACGGGCGTCAACGAAACCCATTAAAAAAGTAAGCAGTATGCGCCCCAAACCAAAAACTTCAAGTATAACGGTCCACCCTTCAAAACAACGGGCAAGTCGACTGTGAATAAAGAATTAGATCGAAAAAAGCTTTAATCAAATGCAGAGAAGTAGGGTGTCCAGTGTCACAAAAAGTTGTCCATCATATTAGAGAGAATGATCTACATGCCTGTATTAATACAGGATTGTTTGAATATCATGGAGACATGAGTGATGGATGAACTCAGTGAGAAAACGAATAATCAGGTAGAGGTGAGGTATCTGCGAGAAAAATCATACCCGGAATATCTTCCTAAGTGACACTTCAGGAAAGTTGATCGAAAGCAGTTCCGTTGATTCCGCACATGGAAAGATGATTTGAAGAGTACGTTGGAAATGCGGTCCAAGCACTGAAAATGCCGGGAAAGAAAGGGATGACCAAAAAAGATGGCTCTTGTCGTGAAGAACGACACAAAACCGCCAGGAATAACAAAAGATCAAAATGTAAAGGCGGCTGATTCGAACAAAGGGCCCACGCTAAAGCGAATACGCCAGGAAAAGTAAGCAGGAAAAGGAAAAAGAAAAATACGGCCTGCATTAGCAGAAGAAACGAAAAAAACTTGAAGCATTTCTGCAGCACAACAATACAAAGAATCAAGTGATCCAGGAAACTGAGCACAAAGGCTCAGACAGTAACCAAATGGAGAGAAACGAACATTCTGAATCAATTATGGAACGGAAAGAAAGACCTACGTCGAACTCTAATAAATTCTTCTTGCCACAGTGATAAAACGGTCGGCTGTACTTTTCTAATGGTTTGCAACTCATTGACTTGTTTTACTTTCCTCGCAACCCAGTCACGAACGATACCAGTGAACGATCGTCAGGCAGATGTGTAAAGGGATCATTACACCAAGCGTTGCCCATCACAAGGGTGATATATGATGTAAGACCTATGTAGATGTTGCTCGAGATTGGCCGAGGAACACGTTCACGTCGATCCTTATAGAAGTATTTAGATAATACATAATAAATATTCGGCTTTTGAAAAAATCTTTCAAAACATGTCTTGTGATCCAATCGTTAAATCACAAAGACGTCCCTGCCTTAATTCAAATATTTGCACTGAACGATCATGAATTTCAGAAAACATTATTTTTAAATACATTATTAACGAAGTTTATTTTAAACCTAACGCGCCTCGTTCCGCTTGAAACTTCTTGTGGAATGCACTCTGTATACCGTAAACACTACCATCTTCATCTTCAA